GATGCAAGTGGACAAGGAAAGTAAATACACGTCCCAACCAGATAATCGTGAGATGCGTGTCATGTGTGTACATGACAACGTACCACGCTCATAATGCACTCGTGGCCATTCTGCTAGCTTCATATATACCAAGTATGGTATGAAGTGACGAGAATGAAAGACGAAGGTAAATGATAATTATATATGCGTGTCATGTAAAACATGACTGCATGCTACGCTCATAGCACGCTCGCGGCCGTTTTTCTACGTCAACATATACCAAATTAGGTATCACGTGACGTGAATAGTCGGGATAGGTATATGCTACGTCTAAACATAATAATCAAGACATGGAAGTTGTGTATGGTATAATTTACGCTGAGCTGATTTTAAAGTGACAAATTAACCTCTCTCATTCGTGCTTCATCAATTCTGACTTGACGTGCAACGTGCCAATGTTTTTTTTTATTCAATTATGAAATTCCCAATTCAAACACCCCTAGCCCGCAGCTTTGACAGACTTATTCCGCGTCAAATATCTCTCGCGAATGCAAACATTCTACGCACATTTGAAAGTACCGCAGGTGGGTGCAAGGTATCCAATCGGAGGGAGGTCAGGGGGGGGGGGGGGGGCAAAGTCTAATCACAGCACTCTGAGTTGATGCCCCTCCTGGTGGTCTAGCCCGAGTGAGAACGTGTTTACAATGAATGCAATAAAAATTAACAAGTGATGACTTTCTGTTCGCAATGGCATTATTTTGGTCGCTGGCTTTCGTCAGGTTAAAATGGGAGGTAAACAATTCTTGAAATGCGATATCACGGGCCGGCCAATATTTAACATCAAACCAATATTTATCATCAAAAACTGTGAGGACGTGAATGAGTAAACGTATCTTGCTGACCTTGCGCCCTCGATATTCAGACGTAACTAATGAGGGGGGGGGGGGAGATATTACTGTGATTCCCTCGTGCGCACGCCTGTGGGATGCGCTGTTGAGAAAGCAAAGACAGACGACATGAATCAAATAGACAGGATCGAGTTAGAATGCTTATGTCAGCTAATTCTTGCTGAGTGGGCTAAACTGGTAAAGCAACTTCAGCTTCTTCTCTTGATCGAAAGAAAAAGAGATATATAAGCGCAATGAGCGAGGGCAGGAGTGTACAGCAGAAGATAATTACATCATGCCGCTGCCAACTTCTGTTTTTGGTACAAGTGAGCAGTTACTCCTGCTATACGATGCACACAATCATTTATTTATTTTTATTCTTAAACAGTTATATCCATTCCAGGGACTTTCGCATAGTGAGGTATTAAGGTTATGTAACATAAAACAAACTAACGAAGAAAGCCGTTTGATCGATGCAAAAGAAAACAAAAAGTGGAAAACCAAAACAAAGCACGTAACTTTCCGTAGTACAAAACTGATGAAATGTAGGAGGGGCTATTAGGTGTAAAAATTTATGCACCCTTGTTGAAGCTGAAAAAAATAAAACTAAAGATGACTACAAGCCTTGGCCTTGGTAAGTTTGTTCCAGTCATTTAGAGTTCGCGGAAATAATGAATAACAAAAGAGTTCTTACTAGTTACAAAGGGTGGTGTTGTGAGCTCATGCATTTGTCGTGTACTGGTTCCAGACGAAAATGTAAAGATTTTTCCAAGATCTAACTTGTATATGTCCCTTTATTAGCTCATATGGAAATTTTAGTTTGTTTAGTGGTGTACTTTTGTTATGGTTCTTAGATTAGTTCACGCTGTAAGTTCTGTAATTGAGGTGTTCACAAAGCTGTTGTAAATGAAAAGCACGTAGCCTTTGCCGCTATTTACTCGTCAGACTTTGAAGCCGCCCACAATAAACCTCAGAAAAAAAAGCCTGCTTTCTCGACTGTAGCTCACACTTAGTCAAATTATGTGAGAAGAAGACCTGTATAAACATAAACTAAATCCACTCACCTTAGGATAAGGTTGTCGTCATGTTACCAACAAGAATAGATGTAAGCCAGAAACTTAAGTTAATTAGGATGATTTTTAAATGCTATGAGATGCCGCACTGCATTGCTCTTGTGCGAAAAAAAAATATTTAAAGCTTCTCTGAAAGCAGTAGAATAAAAAATTAAAATAAATAAATGCCGAGCGTGTACGACATTTATAGATAAATTAACGCGTAGCGGCAATTATAGCCCCCTTGTTGTCGCCACATTGTGTTGAATGGCGTGACACTTGACTGGCGTGACAGATAAAAAAGAGGGCTGATATTAGCCCTGCCCTTCAATATATTTGCTTTTTTTTTATTCTCAGCATGCTAGTTTTGCGGAAGCTCAAGTGCTGCTATTTCGTTTTCTTGAAATTTTTGCTGTTTCGCTGCTGGGCTCTAAAGTATAGACACATGAATCGTTTTATTCAAAGAGCAGAAACGGCTTCTTTGAAGTGGTCAGCATTTCTAATCTGTTTCTCTGTTGATGTGCCGCGAGATATATGGCTAAAAACAAGAAGGTTTGATGCTTTGACAGGCTCACAGGGGTGTCAGATGAAGTGAATGTCAAAAGTGGCCTAGAATTTAAATGAGCCTACACACGTGATTGCGGGGGGGGGGGGGGGGGGGGCGGCTCCACTACTCGACGCGTTTCACTGAATGATTACCACGCTTTGCTTGCAATTGTTGAGACTTATCTCTCTGTTTTTTTATGCATTTGTGGATGAACACTGTAGTTTACTGCATATAACACAGAAGTGTCTTTCAACTTCAAGAGAATTCTTAGGCATGTCGGCTGCATTGATGAAGTTGAAATGTAACGTACATTTCTATTTTCACGTGAATAATAAAGGTTTGAACTGAATTTAAACTTTTTGCTCTTGGTGTGACCCATTCTGACAAGTTCCTTGCTGTTATTCTTGTTATTATTTTAGCCCTCACCAATATGTTGCATATATAGCAGCGAAATACCCTAAAATTTTATTCTGCCCCATACGCGGTTAGCTGTGGCTGCGAGATAAAAGTGGCTAACGATGTTTCTGAAAGAAAAGGGGTTCAACCACTGTTTGTGTATGTACTTGAATGCGGTTGTATAGCAGCGAGTGCGAGTATATAGTATATATGGTGTACTGGAACGGGGCAGTGTGCCGTCTGGCGCCAAAATCGTTGGTCTTTTTGTGATGACTGCCAGCGCTGCCGGAGCACACCGTAATACTGGGGCGCTACCTTTTCGCGTGCCCTGAAGTAATTTATGAGAAGCAGAGATACAAAACTTCCGAGATAGGTAGTTGAGTCCGCGCTGGTCGTAAAATGCGTAAATATTATTAGTAAAATGTATAAAGGAGTAGAACAGTGTTCGTTATTAACTGTTTTTTTTTACATCGTGTCTACTATTCGTCTGGCTCATGCTGGCAAAGGGTGGTTGTGAAACTCACCTTATGATGTTAGCGTTATCCTTCTGTACCTCCTAGCTCGTTTCGTCGCAAAAGCTCAGAATATTCGGACAGCTAGGAAGGCGCACGGATTCATGGAATTACCAGAGAAGTGCTCTTTTATCCCTTCTGCAGTTAAACGAATTAGCAAGCAGATCATCTGGGTCCCTGTTCTGCAATAGAAATTGTGGAGGTTTATACAATGCAGAATCAGCTTTATCTTTACTATTAATGGGTATAAGTGTGTTCGATGTCTTTTGATTCCCCAGATACTTTCAGTTTGAATCATGTTATGTTACTATTTTAATCAAAAACAGCAAAGAGTTTTGCAATGCAAACTCAAATTGCGCATGCTGGGCACACAGCTTGATGGTGGCGCCCTTCTGATGGCGTCATCGCAAAAGCACCTACCGCTCTCCCATTGGTTTGCAGTGACGACCGCACACTGTCCCATCCTAGTACACCATACGATATACACATGCAAAATAGAAAAATTATAGAAAGTAAGTGAGCCCCCCCCCCCCCCTTTCTGGCTACGCCAGTGCTGGCTTGAGAGATCAGGAAATAAATGTTGACTCGATATGCGCCGTCTTCCTGTGCACTCAATAACCGCAGGAAGAAAATGGGTAGGTGTAGAGAGTCAAATAACAGTGCGTATCATCTCGCCAGTCCAGCTGTATTTCTCCATGCGACTGGCATGGAGAATATTTGGACTCATTGCAGTTAATCTTAAACAGCTGAAGCGCAAAAAGGTAACAACGGACTAAGAGAACAACGAGGACAAGCGCTAACGTGTCCTCGTTAGAGCAACTAATCAGTTGCACTAACTCGTTGCACTAACAAAAAATCTAAAATATACTTGAACTCACCGGCACGTGGTTTCTCTATCTGATTTCACTGCTGCTTAGTTTTTTTCTCATTCTTTTCTTTGTCGTTGTGCATTGAATGATTTGATTGTGATGTCATGTGATAGGTATATGTGATTTTGATTTGCAATAAAACTTTATTTAGAAGTATGCACTTGCCCTCGTTGTTTTCTTAGTCTGTTGTTACCTTTTTGCGCTTCAGCTGTTTAAGTAATGGAATACCAACTAGCCCGCTCCCACACTTCGCTGCAGTTCAACACCTGACATTGTAGTTTATATGTGCTATGTGTAAAGGCGGCGCTAGATGGAATCACTGGTGATTTCAGGTGTATCGTCTTAACGCGCACCTCGTGTTACAGGTATTGTTATCTCAAGTTTCTCGATCGCTTTGAAACGAGGGACCATGCGAAGCGTTTGCTGTTCTCGGCCAGCACTGATTATCATATATGCCAGTGTTGTAACAGGCTGTTTGCGATTATTGAGTGAAGCCTCCTCGACTGTCGTCGTTAATTTATTGAATAATATGTGGGGTTTAACGTCCCAAAACCAAAATATGATTACCAGAAACACCATAGTAAAGGCTCCGGACATTTAGACCACCTGGGGTTCTTCAACGTGCACCCAAATTTGAGTACATAGGCCTACGACATTTCCGCCTCCATCAGGAATGCAACCGTCACAGCCGGGATTTGATCCCGCGACCTGCGGGTCAGCAGCCGAGTACCTTTGTTGCTAGACCACCGTAGCAGGGCTGTCGTTAACTTATTTACTAAGTGGTTGTATAACACAATACAAACAGCCAATGAGACATTATAACATCATTTTGTAGAATCGTTTGTACATTACTGGCAAAATCAATGCTTCGCCTTCAAAAAAAAAGTGGCAGTTTTTTTAATTGAAAGGTGGTTAGTTGGTCACGTACGCAATCCAGCTCGTCAGGTAAACGTAATATAGGCATAGCATTTAGAAGACTTCTTTAGATTTACAAAAAAAGTCGAGCTAGTTTATAAAACATGTTTGTAAATGGGTGGGTGTGGAGTTTCGGAGAGACCAGGTTCACAAAACGCGAACCCATTTTGTTTAATCGTGTTTTTTTTTTCAAATATACACTGCCAAACTATGTAAGCCTTTTGAATGCTGTCGCATTCAATCTGAAATATCAAAGTGCACTTTAAAGAAGTGTTCTCTCTTGCTGTCAAATATCAGTTCGCGCCTTGTTACGTTTCGATAGCATACTTTCTATATCTTTTTCTTCGAAATGTAACTATGTCGACACATTTGACTAGGCGGGCATGCATGTACTGAGTTGACATTCTAGTGCGTCTATTACAATGTGTAAAAGTTTATAGGCAATTTGACCAACGAAATATTACCTGAGCGCGTTGTATCCCCCTTGCAGTGCAAAGGGGTGAGCGCAAAGATGGTTCAGTGCAACATTCACGCGTGTACGATAGGTCACCTTTCACGTACAGTCATGATGCATTGTCCACTATGCATAGTTTCTGAAGCACCATTGTCATTTCATGAACGCTAAGGCCACATTCTTATGCAACTGAGTTCTTGCCCTCGGATCTTCATACGGTACTTCCAGTTATGTTTACGGCTTCACTGCACGTCCCAGGCAGAGGACACCACCGAAGTTGGAAAGTGTACTTCGTCTTCGTCATCAGGTTCGCGAAGGTATACTGAGTCAGTTCTGTGGAAGCCCAATTTACGGTGGGCGTTGGGCTAGCGACCCTCAAATTGTATGCCGATATGGAAGGGCATCCTGGTTTGGCCACCCAAGTGACAAGGATCGATGACTGGCTCAGTGGTATCGCCACACCGCCGGCGGGGGCTGCGAGAAGAACAAGTAGATGTGGGTCACGTCTGTCCATTGGCCGTTCGGGGCGCAAACAATACACTAGAGCACGTGAAACCAATTCCTGGTTCATCCGTCTTGCGCGAACATAGCACGCACTGAAAACGGTACCATCGACAATGGTCTCGAAGATATTACAACAAAGTTGTCTTTCTTTTTTGCCTAATTCCTTCCCTACCAAAGTCAATCCATTTCCTGCCATCGAGACTAAATGAATGCAGAGTCATTTCCCTGTGCCTGCTTTCTATATAGGCTGTCCAGCACTGACACTGTTTTGTCTGCGTGCACATCAGTACGCCATCGCGCCTTTGTGTTCCCACCCATTTCCTACTAGCCGGTCTTCTGAGGCGAAAAGTGGCTAAGCTTTCACTCATGCGCACGGAGGATTGCGTGCAGCATTCTCTGAGCAAGTGAACCAGGTAGCTTGAATTTCTCAGATTGAATAACCGCATTTATTACATATTTTTTGTCTTTTGCGTTGGTGCTTCAGTTTTGTAGCACCTATATTACACAAAATTCTATAGATAACCCAGCTTTTGTATTTAGCTATGTAAACGAGCTTTGTTCGAATTACCATGTCGCATACGCTACGGTGTTGAACACTTCAGATATTTACAGCTTCCTGTGCATCACGAACGCCACAATTAAATACAAGTTGAACCAACTTTCGCTGTTCGAGAGCTGCATATGTGAATGCAAGAATCGAGAAACAGCGCAAAAAAAGGAAGGTACACCAGAGTTGGAGATGCTAACGAGCGCTGACCAACAACTGAAGTTTATATTCCGAATAACAAGCCGATATATAAAAGAGAAACACATGGAGACTGTACGAGAGATGCAGGAGATCGAAAGAGAAGGCGGTGTTTCGTGCTTTTTTGCGTTCTTCCATGGTTTTCCATTACCAACCCTCCCAGCTTACCCCACCTATTCAATGACACTTCAGATTGAATGCAAAGTGGCATAAATGGAGGTCCGATTAAAATATGTCTGATGATACTACAAAAAGTGCTCATATCATGCATTGGTACCGTCGCCCTGCAAAAAGATATTTTTAGTGTAATAAACTCTACAACACCACGTTATCACCTTTCGAACTCGCCCACAGAGTGTATGGCAAGTACGTTCAACAAATAGCACCTAGCGCTACAGGCCTATGCACAGTTGTTTCCCAGCGCAGCATATTTTAGAGCTATATATATGCTAATTTACGTAAAACATATAGTGTATAGGTGCCGTCACTTTAGCATGTTGAACAGTTCTTTTTTGTATGTTATGAAGTAAATTATTAGGTTAATGAAACGTCGAATGCGACAGCCCAACCGTTTCCATGTACATACGTCATTTGTGACATGGTTCGTTTAGTTGTCCAGAATACAAAACGCCAAGGTTAACATCCCACTACGGTGCACCTAAACCCATCCGTAAAGTAGCCTATGCAGCGCTAGTCTCAACTGCAGCTACTCTCTCACAGTTAACACGTATGCATATGCTCCGCCGCTGTAGCAGAAACTTTTGATTTCTGATCGCCAGAATGCAGAAAAAAAAACGTGGACGTTCGCCAAGACAAAGATTTGCCTTCAGGATTGGAACGTAATAGCGTAATCGGGCCCCATGTGTATCACCTTCAATTGTGCCGCAAGGAAAGGAACGTTTTCGTGCGTAGCATTAGCCGTTTCAATTATTCTTGAAATGCGAACTGCTACTGTGGCTGTGAAATGTCTATAGCGCCATGATTATTCCATTCGCTAATTGACGACATACCCACTATGCGACCGTTAGGTGCAAACGCGCTCCTGCACAGCTGCGCACTTACATATAGGCAGCTTTACACCTCCGGTTTTTGTAATTACAATAGTGATTTTTGTACTATTTTTTTGGTCAAAAGCAATGACACCGACATCGACCTTAACACCGTAATTTCGCCGAAGTTAACTCGTTAATGCTATGGTGTTAAAATGAGGCGATCTAGTCCGTTTAAAATTCGATTGAATATCTTTGCATAATTCTGGGTTGTACTAAGGTGTCCGTAGACAAAAACATTCAACGCTCTGAGGGGCCTCGTTTGAATTTCTCACTAAATGCAAACTGATCTTGTGTTTTACACTCAAATCCAGCCTTTACATAGGACATGTCACATGACGTCAGTTTATAGAGTCACTCAGTGCAGCATTTTTGAGCGCAGCATGATTCATCGCCTCAAAATGTGCTTCGCTTCCGGCTTTCACTGTATGTTATTAATAATCTTTTCGGCTATCAGAGCTTATAATCAGGACAAAACTTTTCACGAAAAACATATACACTTACCTCCCGGCTGCGTCTTGGTACTGACGTTGATGCATTGACCAACGAACGGGGTCAAACCTTGATCCACGTAGGCACACACGAACACAGTGTAATTCTTAAAGTCTTGTAGACGCTGAACCGAATAAAAAGTCTTGGTCGTGAGGTCGTTCAGCTTGCCGATGCACAAGTCGCTGAGACACCAGGACACCTGGTATCCCGTGACGTTCGTGCTATTCGACGGAAGCTGCCAGGTGATGTTAATGGACGACGGCCCGACAGCTACCACAGTGAGGTTAGATGGCACAGGGATCTCTGAAACAGTTTTTCGAACAATTAGATAAGTCTGGTGGTGCTAATGCATAGGAGTAACCCGCAGTCTCTTGTTGCAACCTAAAAAAAGATTATTTAAAATGGGTCACACTAAAAATATCATATTTATTTGTTTCAATTTCGTGTACATGTTTTGAAATTATGAGACCAGCTTGAAAATCGAGCAAGTGAGAAGCCTATGCGTACGAAAAAAAAATAACACAAGAAAGGGCATCCATACCAATATACAGCTACAACTAACTTCGTCCAGGTTATTATCCTTGCTCATATCATATAGACCCACCAGCTCATAATGCGTACCCTTCTCAATAAATAAAGCACCTAATGAAGATTTAATTTTTAGTAAGCTTATGTAAAAAACTTTAGCACTGCCAAAACTGTTAATGCACATTCGCATAATACAATGCGTACTATTACAAACTCCATACAAATGATCACTGTATACGTTTACTAACTTGAACCTAAGCGTCATGCAGATAACAGGAAAACATATCTCATATGAGATGTTTAACGTCCGAAAACCAACATATGACTATGAGAGACGCCGTAGTGGAGGACTCCGGTAAGAAGTAAACGTAATTACTGCGTACAAAAAACAAATGTTTCTTGGTTGATTCTTAAATTTCAATAATTTTCTGGGTTCAACGTGCCAAAACCTCGATATGATAATAATAGACGCCGTAGTGAAAAACTCCAAAAGTTACGAACACTTAGAATTCGTTAACGTGAATCTAAATATAAGTACACAGGCCACAAGCATTTTCACCTTCATTGAAATGCGGCTGCTGCGGCCGAGATTTCACCACGTGGTTTTCGTGTCTGCAATGAAGTGCCATAACCACTAGACCACTGCGGTGAGAAGCACGTTTATAATTGTAACTGATGAAAACATCTAGTGTCACTGATTTAGTGCAAATGCCTCCAAACCAGTCTCATTTTACAGTTATAAGCAGAAGGATAATAAATCCTTAACCTTTGGAAACACCGGATATACACGTTATCGCGAGTGCTGAGTTTAAGTAAAGTAATGTTGTGAAAATAATTCGAAGTGATGCGGAAATAGGTATTTTCATAAGCTCTAATTTTGCTAGTCGTAAATTCATGCAGAAAAAATATGCAGATGCTATGCATTTTTGAAACCTGTAAAATAAAAGCGAGATGAGCCAGCGAGCTAGACGATATGGTAATATCACAGTGAAAAAATGTGCAGCGAATTGCGGTGACGAATGCGATGCATAAGACCTGATAAAACTTTGCCGACCTGTACCAATGCTGGTAAGAGACGGATGCCAAAAAGGAGCTATGACACTTTGGGCAGAGATCCTTCAATGACGAGCATGTCGATTCAAACTTTCCCTTTATTCTCTACTTATCATCAGATACAAGCTCTGTCGGACATCTCAGAGCTTGAAATTAAGGAGGAGCCACAGCCAATCTGAGTGCCAAGCACGGCCCGAGATGAAATGGCTCCACCAGCTCAGCCGACAGCACGATGGTAGATTACTCCTATTCAAGACGTGGTTCCCGTGAAGCGCTCCTCAATGCATGCGGGCGTTTAATATATTATCCCACATAGCCGTTAAATGCCGTTCCTCCTGAAGGTTAAGCGCCTCACTTCGAAAAGGGCGAGCAGGTCAAAAGGCACTCCGATCCTGCTACGGGCGAGGTATGCGATAATATCACACCTGGAGGTTCCTAAAGAACCTGGCCATCCGAGTTCACATTTAGGCGATGGTCGAAGATTTTACATCTGATCATATAACAATGAGAAATACTGTACATAAAATTCATAATCCAGCCCACCCAGACAACTTTTTTTCTTCACTCGGCACGTGGCATGGTACCGGACCTGTAGTCAGCGGCGTAGGCAGAATTTTTTTAGGGGGAGGGGACCTCCTAGACCTGAAGTGGGAGCCCGGCAGGCAGATGGAATGGAATGTTGGTACTGGGTCTGTAGTCAGAGCCGTAAGCAGAAATTTATTTTTTTTTTGGGGGGGGGGGGGGGGGGTTGACTATGAAGTGTGGGCCAAGCAGGCCGGCAGGCTTAGCCCTCGCCTGGTGTCATTTTGTCCCCCCCCCCCCCCCCACGGCGTCGGCACTGGCACACTTCCCACACTGAAACACTCATTTACTTATTTCAGGCAAATATTGCTGTATCGCACAGGAACTCTTTTTCGTTACTTTCACAACCTGCACTACGCAATAGCACTCGACGGCAGAACGATGAAATGCATAGTCGGAAAAAGATATTAGGTGACTGATTTTTTTTTCATTCGCCTTGTCTCGTGTCTTCTACTAAATTAAGAGAAAACAAACAGAGTCGTCCCTTATTTGACTGTCCTTTGATTATGAATCATCTGGACCAAGGTTCTATTCTGATAGCAGAATCATCGAGAGAACAATGAAAGCACATTTTCGCTTTCCTAGGATTTAAGAAAGTTTGCTCATTTGCTTCATTTTACTCTTTTTTTATGCCAGTTATTATAGTAGTGCACAGATAGGTGCCCTTTATTAATGTATTTCTCTTTTATACTTCTGAGGGACCATTCATCCGCAAGTGACCTTTCTGAGAGAATTGGTTAGAGCATGGTCCTCATAAAACGTGAAGAGACGCCTGATGAATTGGTGGATATCAATTTCAATAGCAATATTTTTCCTTCATACTTGAAACTTTTCTTCCGCACTGCTTCTTTCATCCTACAGTGAACCTATTGAGGTGCCCTCTCTTCAGGCTCTGCGCGTCCACGTGCGCTGATTATTCCGAACACATGTGCTGATTTTGTCCTTGCATGCAATAACTCCGATGCGTGAGAGAACAAGCACACAGAGAAAAAAAAACATGGCAGATTTGCACTAGTGGTACCAAGCTTGAAGGAAGAGTGGAGCTGGGGGGTAAGTGGGGTCATTTTTGTTTTTCTTTATTTTATTGCGATAGCAATGATATGAACACTCAACGATTATTCACCTGTTGTCATGCCCCAGATATTTGTATGTATTGATAGATTGATATGTGGGCTTTAACGCCCCAAAACCACCATATAATTATGAGAGATGCCGTAGTGGCGGGCTCCGGAAATTTTGAACACCTGGGGTTCTTTAACGGGCATGCGAATCTGAGCACATGGGCCTACAACATTTCCGCCTCCATCGAAAATGCAGCCGCCGCAGCCGGATTCAAACCCGCGACCAGCGGGCCAGCAGCTGAGTACGCTTGCCACTACACCACCGTGGCGGGGCATATATTTGTATGTATGTATGTATGTATGTATGTATGTATGTATGTATGTATGTATGTATGTATGTATGTATGTATGTATGTATGTATGTATGTATGTATGTATGTATGTAGTATGTATGATGTATGTATGTATGTATTATGTATGTATGTATGTATGTATGTATGTATGTATGTATGTATGTATGTATGTATGTATGTATGTATGTATGTATGTATGTATGTATGTATGTATGTATCTGGGTCATTCCACGCCAGACGATTCAAGCATTGCACTCGACCTTCTCCGATTATGTAAAATTGTGGACGTTCGTATCAATGAACTATTTGCCCTCGGAAAGTATTTTTTGGGAAAAGAAATTTGTTCTCTATTACAGCGATTTGAACTTTGCAGTAGAGGGTGAAACACAGGTCACGAAAAAAATATTCTCAAAAACTGTTCACAGAATGCTGTAAACATCTGCTGATTGTTTGAGAAGAAATGGCGCTATTTTATCACCCATGGACGACCTCTACTTTGTCTCACGATGTGCTTTGTGCAGAAGCGATGCTGCAATTCTGAACCCATTTTGGTTATTTTTTCAAATCTATAAATTTCACAGACACAATGAAACAATGTCACATGACTGGATAGTTGGAAGGGAGCGTGTCAAAAAAGTATTCATGTCGATGACCTAGTAGTTTTGAAGTGGAAGGCGTGCCAACGTTGAAAAACGTAGAGTGGAGATGCGATTCAAGAAAAAATTCACGCTTAGTCTCATTTGAAAGAGCGAGCAAAGGGGATTTATTTGGAAAAGTTTAATCGGAGTTATTTATTTTTGTTGTAGACGAGAAACAAGAGTTTATGTTGAGCGTACGCGGCGTACCTGGGCGTGGGCTCGTAAGCCCGCTCCACGGCACCGGCACGATTCAACGGGGCAACAGAAGTATGCAGCACGCCCGCGGTTGGCAAGATCGTGTGCTGCTCTAAGTTTGCACGTTGCTGAAAACTTGCCAACAGTGTATATGCCGTACGGCTGGCAGAAGGTGTTGGAAAGGCACTGAAGTATGCAGTTTGTGGTTGCAGCTCAGAACTATTTCATTGCCAGGTCGCTACGTGTGCACGTACGACAGACGCAAAACTTAGGTTGTGTGCCCACTTTTCGATCTCTGCGGAGGCTACAGTCCTTACTTATGTTGCCGACGTATCATCTTCGCCCCATAAATTACGTGTGTTGCTTATGTTGCGACCGGGTTTTGCAGGCACGGGAGATCTGGTATCGAGAGGTCGAGGAAGGAGGAGGTGGAACTTTGTAGATAGGGTTTATTTACATTATTTACATGGCACGAGCTCTCGGGCCCGAAGCTCTACATTGAGAAGCTCTACATTGCAAGGCTCTCCACATAATCAGCACCGTGAACCAGCACTCAGCAGCCCGCAAGGGCTGATTTCAAACAGTCTCATTTCCCCATGCAGATCCCTATATAGATCGGGAAATAGGTTCACACTGCACTGTCCAAAAGCATCTTTCACAACACTCACGAGGGTCATTATTCCGGCACCGCCCCCAACAAACACTCATACACAACCCAAAGACGAGCATAGTCCCGGCGATGCTGCCTCCTCCGGCAAATCTTGCTTCCATCGAGCGGGGTGAAACGAGTTTGTCATATCGCTGCTTAGGACGACTACCCATGCATTGTCGAATGACGGTCACGGTCTAGGCGCCTCCAAGGGGTCATGTCTGGAGATCTCGTACTGTTTTGA